GTTTGGACTGCTAAAGATGTTTCGTATCTTCTCACGCTCTGAATTGTTTTGAGATTTATGTGTCTTTTGTATTCAAGTTATTGGTATGTTTATCATCATTTCCTTGGGTCATGTTTTCAAAATGATATTTCTCTAGTGAATTTGCATGAATTGTATATTTTGAGTTATATATTAAAAATCATCCTCAACAACCCAAACTCACTAACTGAATAATTTATTCCATAAACAAAGACCATCGACCAAACAAATTAAAAGTATAATAATCCCATCCTCAAATGTTCCCACAATATAAATGTTCATTTTGTTTACTTTTCTGTTTGTCGCCTTCATTTTGTTTAATCTAAATTGTGGAAACATTTGCAGATAGGATTATTATACTTTCAATTGGTCCATGTAATATATTTAACAAAGACCAAGGACTACAAACCTTAATAATTGTAACAAAAATATAATTAATAAATACCTTGAGAATTTCTTCCACTATGCTTTCAACTTTTGGACAAATCGAAGAGGTAGTAAACGCTAATGGCACTATAGGTACAAGCAAACTATTTGTCACAACTCTATAATATTTTCGTGAAAAGATCAAAACAATCTACACTGTATAAGAGAAACGATCATCAATGGAAGCTGCTTCTTGTGATGAACATGGAAATTTCCAACCTTACCGAACTTCCTTCCATTTTCAAGCTCATCAAAATTGGCTCAACGGTTATCACTCACTATGATTTAGTTTTTTTTTTTTTTTTCTGATCTGAAGTGCAATAATATACTTTCACATATTTACTACCTACTTAAAGATATTAACCTTTGTCTTTATTATTTTTCTGTCACCTTTGGTCCTTGGATAACCTCTGATGCCTCTTGGATTGTGAAGATCCTAACGGTAAAAATCTAGTACTATACTTTTACTTAACTCACATGGAATCCAAAGTGCATACATGTTAAGATTGTGATAAGTTTGAATTCGCAAGCCTTCCAAGTTATTGATATGTTGGTATTTTTTTTTAAAGTAATCAAGAATTTTCACCAAATGATCCAACAATAAATTTATTTATCTTGTTTCAGGACCACTGTACTACAAAGGATTCTACCATCTGTTCTACCAACACAACCCTTTGGCTCCATTTTTCGGGGACATTATGGTATGGGGACACTCTGTTTCACAAGATTTGGTCAATTGGATCCAACTAGAACCAGCCCTTTTCCCCTCTGATCCCTCTGACATCAACAGCTGCTGGTCAGGATCCGTCACAATCCTCCCGGATGGCAAACCTGTAATCTTGTACACCGGAAGCGACACCAATAAACATCAAGTGACAGTTCTTGCCGAGCCTAAGGATGCTTCCGACCCTTTGCTTTGCGAGTGGGTAAAGCCTAAAGGAAATCCTGTGATGGTCCCGCCTAGTAATGTCCCGATTGATAGTTTCCGCGATCCAACGACCGCGTGGCAAGGGAAAGATGGTAAATGGAGAGTTCTTGTAGGAGCTAAGGAGAAAGATAGTAACAAAGGAATGGCGATTTTGTATCATAGTGATGATTTTGTCCAATGAACAAAGTTTCCGGTGCCTTTACTTGAATCACAAGTTACCGGAATGTGGGAATGCGTGGACTTTTTTCCGGTTTCAATCACTAATAAAAAGGGTTTAGATACTTCGGTGAACAATTTCTAATGTGAGGCATGTGTTAAAAGCGAGTTATGGAGGCAATGATTGCTATGTCATTGGTACATATTCTTCTGAGACTGAAACTTTTTCTGCGGATTCCGAGTTCAGTAACACAGCTGCAGATCTGAGATATGATTATGGAAACCTATGTGCTTCCAAGGCCTTCTTCGATAGCGCTAAGAACAGGAGGATCTCATGGGGATGGAGAGAGATAGCAATGAAGATGATATTGTGAAAGGATGGGCTGGAATTATGGTAAAACCAATATTAACGAACTGCTTAATTTTGTTAGTGTTTTTAAGAAATTTCAAGAATTTTTTCTTTGTTTTGTTAAGTCTCTTCCAAGGACGATTTGGCTGGAAAGAAGCGGGAAGAAGCTGATGCAATGGCCAGTCGAAGAAATCAACAATCTCCGAGCCAAAAATGTTAGCTTGGAGAGTAAGCTACTCGAAGGCGGCTCCATGCTTGAAATCTCTGGCATCTCTGCTTCTCAAGTGAGTCTTTCTCACTATGTTTTGTTAGCAAATCCCCACTGTGATTAGGTAAAATGATATAATCAAGTACTAGAGTCATAAGTTACTTTATTGTTATATTTAATGATTTTGTTATGAAAGCTCATTAGTCATTAACATTCTCTAAATTAGACTAGATTTTATTCTTTGTTTTAACTTCTTTTTTTTTCATTTGTTCTTATTGTTGTTAAAGGCCGACATAGAACTAGCCTTTCATCTACCTGATCTAGAAAATGATCTCGAGGTTTTGGATTTGGACGAAGCTGATGAAGCGAGTTTAATTGCTGGATATAGCGCATCAGTTAGAGGCGTTTACGGGCCTTTTGGATTGTTAGCAGTAGCTAGCAATGATTTATCAGAGCACACTGCAATCTTCTTTAGAGTTATTCGTCGTGAGAATGGATATGCGGTTCTAATGTGCGGCGATGAGAGCAAGTAAATTTTTGACTTTGATTGAAAACTTAAAACCGATGTATGTTTTTGATCTTCTGTGATGATTATGTTTTTTTCTTTTTTAAATTTCTTGTAGGTCTTCGTTGAGAGACAACATCGAAAAAGCTTCGCTTGGAACATTACTAGACATTGATCCAAGACATGAGAAGATCTCATTAAGATGTTTGGTGAGTTGGATTTTGCCTTTTATGCAATGTCATTTTTTTTTAATCTAAGACATTTTATCTGTCATTTTCACCATGTAAGGAGGCACGTTCTTTTTTGTAGATCGATCACTCGGTTATCGAGAGCTATGGGGGAGGAGGAAAAAGTGTGATAACATCTAGGGTTTATCCAAAAATTGCAATTGGTGAAGAAGCTAGGCTTTACGTGTTCAATCATGGAACAAAAGGTGTGATCATGTCGTCTTTGGAAGCTTGGAGCATGAGAAAAGCCCATATAAATTCAAACACAATATAATTGATCATGTTAGTAATGATTACAATCAGCTTTTGGACAGCCAACAAGATGTTCATCCTTTGTTGCAAACTGTTCAAATGTGTAAGATCTATGAGTGTAAAATTGTGCAATTTCTGTATAAATGTGGTGGTGGTTTGAAATTATGCAACTTTTGTCAATTGTGGTGGTGGGCCAAAAACCCGCACGTTGGCGGACCACTCCACCGCAGATCAGACGAACCAGATCAAACCCATCATATTTTTTCGTTTTATGTATATAAATAAGTTCAATAATTCAACAAAATACTTTTCTTTGCGATTTTTTTTTAAAATTTTTTTGTTGAGTTTTTCAAATCCATGCCCAACTCTCCTACTAATTGTTCGTTTTGAACCGAAAATCCGGACGGATTTTTTTTTTAACTTATTTCCAAAAAGTCTCATACTAGTTGTAATTAAACTTAACTTATTTATGTGTGTCTAAAGTTCCGATGGAAGATTTGGACTAATATCATAACATCATCACATGTACATTTTCATCATATAGTCTTCAAAAGAGGTCTGCTATAATTTAAGGACAATCAATAATTTTTTCATACCACCAGCAATAACAAATGATGGATAATAAAAACTGGTAGATATATATTAAAATAGTTTGGCCAGTGCAGTAGTGAATCAGTGATGTGTGAGCCCATATTGTATAATAAAGGACCATCCATCCATGTTCAAGCACAATAGATGACACTATTGTAGAATATAAAACATTGTTAGAAAAGGAGAATATAAAATGATATTTGAATTATACTGGATCAACATTACGAGATTTATAAAGTAAGAGATTATAAAAGCAGCATTTTTTTTTCTCTCTGTTATTTTGTTTCTAGTAATCGTTTATCATAAAGATTTTGTCGCCGTTATCAAAATGGATTTTGGGATTTAACCAGTGTCCCTTCTTAAAATTGTGGTGGAGAAGATGTCTCAAGATTTTTCAAAAAAGATATTGTATACATTATATACACTTGTCTTTTATGTTTCCTTTAAACTGTGGCCATTGTAACTCCCCTTCACTTGTGTTGCCTTTAATCATTTCATTTCTTTTGGTATCTCACTTTCTAATACTGTCGTTATATATTAATTTGTGTGCATTACATCATTCTACTCTCATTGGTTATTGCAACTCTGCTTTTTCAATAATTAAACACATAAATCATGGGGTCATTCAAGTTGATCTCTTTTTAATTATTAATGTTCTTCATGCATACTTTAAATGGTGATATGTTGTTGATGCCATTAGAGAAGCACAAATGCAACAGTTTTCGTAGATGGTAAAACTCGATTCATAATTGTTTCCGTTTTCTACAACTATTTTATTATATGCTTATGCTAAAGAAAGAAGAGAAAAAATGATAATAAACTCAGAAAATTTGTCAGATGTTTCAAAAGAAAAAAGAACCTGTTTTCCCTAAAGGCTAACCAAGCCCCACCACTTAGGAGCTCCCAAACTGTGTGAATATATATTTTATGTGCATGTGGGGTAGGTACAAATCTAAGGACAGATTTGTTGTTGTTGTAATGTGAAAGTTTTTGCCCAACATGAAATTACTCTTATTTATAAATATGAAAGCTCATAATTAGGGACACTAATTTGAACGCCAATGTAAGATTTATTCGAACAATCTTCTAGTTTGGGTGAATGTTATACCGAAGAGAGACAATTTAATTGCGGACTGACTTCTCAATTAGATATATAAGCTAGTTGAGTGGTTGAGACATACTATTTATTAAGTGGTTTAATTTCCAATTAAAAATAAATTTGGTTACGAAAGAAATTAAACTCATAATTTGTTAGTAATCAATAGATTTTGCCATGTTTACACAAGAGTTTGTGAATCCATCAATCAAATCATAAAATAATATAGAGATAAGTCTCACGTATTGAAGAATCCAACGGCAGTGATTATGCAATTATTGCGAGTGACACCTACTTTTACACCCTAAAGATTCTTGGGGTCAAAATCTCTTACGATACACTAGAAACAAACAAAAAAAGTCTAAATATATTAAAATACCTAAATTGTCCAAGAAAGAGATAGTCATCAGATTCCGTGGTAATCAACGGATTCTATGTGCATATTATAATATAAATATTTTCATAACTTCGAGGTTAATAGTTACTACTTCTATTAGAGACCGGTCATCGATGACAAAATGTACTAATGACTCTTTTTCAGTTTGCTTCCCCCAAAAATAATCAAGAAAAATTGCCAAACCAGTAATCATCTATCTAATTTTTAATTAATGATCATACGGTATTAAATTTCACAAAGTTCCAGAAATCTTTCTAGTAAATAGAAATAAAATTATATTTGTACGTTAACGTTGTCTAAGAACATCACCATAATTCTTTTTTGTTTATTTTTTTATCCCATCAACATTACAATTCAATACAGAAATTAAAGAAAAGGAAATACTAGTTTACAAATTCATAATGGAATAAATCTTACACGTGATGATGATCTCAAACATTAACCAAACATGGTAAAAGATAAATAAGACACTAATTGAGAAACATAAAAATATTTTTTTGTGTTTCAGAAATAAAGACTAGATCAGGAAATATACAACGGATTTTATTACCAGATTTAGGCTAGACTGAAAATTAAATAAAACTGAATATTACAATTATGCCCATAAGGCTCCAACCTCAACGAGCCGAGGAATAAGATGACCACTTAGGTGAAGTGCGACAAGAGACTCAAAACCTCCGACGCAAGAACCGCCGATAAAAAGCGCCGGAGTAGCTTCAACGGCGAGGCAAGCAATCTCTCCGTCGTCGATCTCGATCACTGTTGGGTGGACTCCAACGGTCAATAGAAGCTTCTTCATGACGTGACACATGCAGCAAGAAGAGGATCGAGTGAATATGATGACTGGATGCTCCGATATCAACCGTTCGATCTTTGACTCCGACGTCTCTTCTTCGTCGAATGATAGGCTCGTA